TGTCCATCAATTACCATCAGTCAGTATGGCTAAAGTGCCTTCATCGTAGTCATTATAATAATTATAACTAGTTTGTGTACTCATGCGCCGCACGGTAAGATATATGTTTAAAGTTTTTCTTAAATTAATATGGACTGCGGATTGTATATGAATTCGTCAATCGAAGTTTAAAAGAGAACTCAGTTGATTATAAATACAGATGTCAAAATGAGTCGACCTCCACCGGGCTTGCTCGTTTCATGGTGGATTGTATTTAAATATAACCTGATTAGCTCATTGGTTTCGTGGGTCAACATGCACAGGTTGTGGGCTGACTTTACAGCTTTCTATTGGTCAAAATATAAATATCTAGTTTTGACTTTCACTATCTTATTTTTGTTTGTTTACTACAAAAATATTTCAAATTACATGCTTATTATTTAATACAGAACCATCATATTTGTGTCGGTCCTTTTAGTTCTCTTTTATTCAAATTGCTTGAGTAATGAGGTGTGCTGCTTTATATCAAGAATATAGTAACTTTTAGAATTTTTATTACATTATTTAATGTGTATTCAATTGATTTGAGTATAAGTATTTAGAATGATTTTTTTATATTACTGTGGGGTAACTTATATAAGTATAAGTATTTTTATAATAATTTATTGATTTTTTTACATGAAGCTTCTTGTGAGAATGAAAATGAGCCCAATAATATAATTCTTGAAAATAAAGTATGCTCTCACTATATTTAGAATTGTGGCCTAACTTATATTTCTTTCTCAATTATGTTTATACGTTTTCTTAATTGTATTTTTACAAAAAAGATTAGAGTTTGGTAATCATTGCTTTGAGTTTGTATCTAATTACAAATAGACCTACTCTTACTCGGCCTAATCAGAGAACAGCCATATAGTCCATCAATCAATAGGAGTCGTGGAGATACTACCTAAAAATCGATCAAATTGGTGTGATCAGTTGAAGTTTTACAAATCGTTGCTGAAATGGTTGGATCAGGTGAACGGAAAAATAAAAAACTCATTCCAACGCTATTTTGATTATTACTCATTCCAACGCGTGAAATAAAAAACTTCGTGTTTGATAATAAAAAGTTAGCTGCTGATAAGCTAAAAGTGTGGGTTACTAAACCAGATTTCAATATTTCCCACCACATTTCTAAAATATTTCAAAGAGGAAAAAACTATATTTATTTGTAGGTTTGAATGAGAAAATGATGAATTAGAAAAGAATAAGAAAGAATTCCACGTATATTACTAGTAGAAGAGTCATGGAAATAAATAATACTAAAGACGACTTATTATGAGAAAATGATGAATTAGAAAAGAATATGAAAGAATTCCACTTATATTACTAGTAGAATGAGTCGACCTCCATCGGGCTTGCTCGTTTCATGGTGGATTGTATTTTAATAACCTGATTAACTCACTAGTTTCGTGGGTCAACATGCACAGGTTGTGGGATGACTTTACAACTTGCGATTGGTGAAAATATAAATATCCAGTTTTGACTTTCACTATCTTATTTTTTTTTGTTTACTACGAAAATTATTTCATATTATACACTTATTATTTAATACAAAACCATCACTTTTTGTCGGTCCTTTTAGATCTCTTTTATTCAATTGATTTGAGTAGAAGTATTTAGAATGAATTTTTTTATTGTTTATATTACTGTGGGGTAGCTTATATAAGTATACATATTTTTATAATAATATATTTACATGAAGATTCGACACACGAGCTTACATGAAGCTTCGACACACTAGAAATGTTTCTTGTGAAAATGAAAACTAGCCCAATAGTATGATTCTTGAAAATAAAGTATGCTCTGACTATAATTTGAACTGTGGCCTAACTTATATTTCTTTCTCAATTATGTTTATACGTTTTCATAATTGTATTTTTACAAAAAGATTAGAGTTTGGTAATCATTGCTTTGAGTTTGTATCTAATTAAGAATATACCTACTCTTACTCAGTCCTAATAAAAGAACAACCATATAATTATCACTGTATGATTATCTTTATAATTGATGACCATCAATCAATAAGAGTCGTGGAGATAATATCTAATAAACGACGAAATTTGCATGATCAGTTGAAGTTTTGCAAATTGTTGCTGAAATGGTTGGATCGGGTGAACGGAAAAATTAGATTTAAAATACATTTCATTAATAAAATTAGGAAAAAATACATGAAACATAGGTAAAATGGTGTTCTACAGTCACTTCATCCAATTGAGTCACAAAAGTAACTCCATCCATAGCTATTTTGATTAATACTCATCCCGGCGCGTGAAATAAAAACTTCGTGTTTGATAAAAAAAAAGTTAGCTGATAAGCTAAAAGCATGGGTTACTAAACAATATTTCAATATTTCTCACCACGGTTCTAAAATATTTCAAAGAAATGAAAATTCGAGTATCTTTAAATTTACCTGTGAGCATTAGTAAAATTACAGGAAAAAACTACATGTATTTGTGGGTTTGAATGAGAAAATGATGAATTTAGAAAAGAATGAGAAAAAAATCCACTCATATTACTAGTAGAAGAGTCATGGACATAAATAATACTAAAGACGACTTATTATTTAAATGCTAACACAACAATTCCCCTGTTCCAATCTTACCCCGAGGTATAGCTCTATACCCGCAAGCCCTGTTCTAAAAATTGGCCTAGTCGGACCGATTAATCGGTCTAGGCGGCCTAGGCGGCCCTAACTGTAGAGGCCTAGTCATATATTTTCTGTTTCAAGAATTTTGTGCTGCCCAGATGATTTGTTGGAGCTGTGGACGTGCTCTTTTAAACACATTCTTTGCTAGCTCGTGTATCTGAAAATGGATGATATGTTTGAATCATGGAAGTTTTTTTTTTTTTTTTTGCCTGATGTCATCCATCTCCTTGGGTGGGTAGAACAAAAGAGGCAAACAATTTTTAGGCAAAAAAATGGAAGCGGTTGGGAGTTGGGGGATGATAAATAAAGCAAAACTTTATATGAGTATGTGTTACTTAAGTTCAGTTCAAATCGGTTGAAATTGTTATTTTTTTTAAATATGTCAATATTTATTATTTTTTATTATATTTAGTTTTGTACTAATAGTCTACCATATTTTGATGTGATACCTAGCCTTATTTAGATGATTTGTATTAAATTAGTTGAATTTGACAGGGGGATTTGACAATTGAATTTGTTCACATAAGGGATTTGGCGCATGATTAATTAAAACACAGGGGGGTTTGACGCATTTTTTAAATCACATGGGGCTAATGCGGCGAATTTCCAAATCACAGTGGGGTTTGGTGCATTAAACCCTTGTGGCCTGATTTCTATTCCCCTAAATAAATCAAAAACATTGTATCATGACTCACAAAGTAATTTATTTGCATCACACCAATATGTGAAATCAAACCCACCCTCAAATATAAATTCAAGTAACTCCCGCAAATTAGGTCTGGATCTAAAAGCTTGGTAACCGTTGGGGGTAATCACGACATTTTATTTCAGGAAAATTCTTAGTGTGCATGAGTTGTACACAACCTGTACACAAAACCCACACAGCTGCTTGTGTACACATGCAATTCGTTTAAAAAGGGGCATAACTTGATGTCGAATTTTCCGTGTACACATGCAATGTACACATTTTGTGTACACCAGGAATGGTCCCTTATTTTATGCTCTTTCCACGTGCTTACGTTTTTTTATTGAATATTTTAATTCTAGTCGCTTTTTTGTCTAACTAATTAGTAATGGTAATGTATTAATAGAAACCTCAAATAATAATATCAAGGTACTTTTGTCAAAATGGGTGAAACATAAATATTCTAAGTTAGAAAGGGGATATGCGGATTTTATGTAATGAATTTTAGATGTTGAATAAAATGAATGATTGGAATTGGAATTAAATATATGATCTTTGAGCCGCCTCGATCCTCCTCCTCGCTCAGTTGAGTGAGTCATTCTAGGTGACGGAGCACTGGTTCTTGGGCGGGTGAAGCAAGGCAGATGGAAGAGGAGCTGAACAGCCATCCCTCCGATGGACAAACGCGAAATCCGGCGGCTTATCCTAGCGGCGTCGGGCTTGGTGAAGGAGCTGAGGCTGAGCTGTTGGTGAAGGAAGCCAAGCCAGAGAAGGAAGAAGAGAAACGAAGAAAGTGAGCATTCCATTCACTAATTAAAATCAGTTCCCACACCGACCAAGCCAGAGAAGGAAGAAGAGAAACGAAGAAAGTAAGCATTCCATTCACTAATTAAAATCGGTTCCCACACCGACGCCGGATGGCTGAGCGACTCCTGGCTGGGTCTATAAATACAAGGGTACAGTTGCAGATATACTCACCCTTTGGGACTGACCAAGTCCCGCTGGGTTGGGCTGGCCACCCTTTGGGGCCGGCCCCGGCTCCCTCTTTGGGCGCCATTAGGCTTAGGTTAGGTAGGTAGTTAGGGCTAGGCTTAGGTTAGTTTAGGCTTAGGCTTAGTTTAGGCTAGCTTAGGTTTAGGTTAGGCTTAGGGCGGTGGGGGCGTTATGCTGCCTCCATGCCGTCCTGGGCCGCCAGGGGTGGCGTTATGCTGCCTCGCTGGCGCCGCGTGGCGCCAAACCCCCCGTGGGGGGGGGTAGGGGGGGGTCAGGAGCAGTATGGGGGAGTCGAGGGGGGAAGAAAAGGGGGGAAAGGGGAGAAGAAGGGGGGAAGACGGGGAGAAGAGTCGAGAGGAAGCAGTAGGGGAAAATTAAGACAGGGGGAAATTTACTAAATTCATATGTACTTGATTGCAGTAAAAGTTTAACTAATTATGCTTCATATAATCAACCTAGATAGTTTGAACTTAATATTAATTAGAACTGGGGCGCAGTAAATTACTGCTCAGTTGCAGTACAACATTTCTGGTTTTGATTTTAGTTTTAAGTTTCGTCAAAAAGAAGTCCTTGATTTATAAGTTTCCCAATTCACTGTTGATGTGTCCAACAATTTTATGTTATTATTAATTTATTATTTGTTTTTTAAAGGTGATTATGTCGTTCTTATGCTGAAGTTCGCTGGTGAGTGGAAAACAATTGCTAGATTTGTGTTTTGACGTAGCACAGCTGCTCAAACGTTGATAAATTTGAAGGTAGAATTTAGAATTTTGCCCTTCTGTCTATTACCTTAGGGATATCTATAGTAAGATGCAAAATGTGGGTATGACTAGGTGGTTCTATGGGGGTATACTATATATTACAAATAAGTGGGAATGGTGCACACCTTGGTTTAAAAAAGCGCGCCTGAGGCGCGAAAATGCGCTAGGCTCTCTAAGGCGAGCACTTTATCGCATCTTACACCTCCAGGCGGCGTAGGTTCCAAGAGGCGCACATTATACGGCGCTTTTTGACGCCTTTTGCGCATCTGAGAGTCGCGCGCTTCTCACGCCTTAGGGATGTGTCTTTTGGCGATTCAGTCTTTATAGTCTTCTCCCTTCTTCCTGCGTTTGTTTTGCTTCTGAGTTCCCCTTGAAATGCTAGCTACTTGTTGTGATTCTGGAAGTGCTAGTGTACTAGAAGAATCAGGGCACTACCCACTCGTTGGCAAATGTACTATAGCTATTGTAGTTGGTTCTCCCCTTGAATGTTTTTTTATTGAAACTTTTATTCTTTATTGTGGCTTAGAGCCGTTTGCTTCTTTCACTGCTGTTTCAGATCTGCTAATATATGTCGTTGTTGCAAATCCTATTCATTCTTCTTTACCTCAACCTTTTTTCTTTGTTTCAAAACATATAATATTTCGTATACAGCTTTTACTTGCAGGAAAAACGCAGTGTGGAGATGTTGGATTGCCCCAGCCCCATAGGAGTACGCTTTGGTTAGTACTATAATTAGTTGTGACTTTTTCAATTTCCTTAGTTGTAAGGGCATATCTTTGTTTAATGCCCTTTTAGAATAGTACTCCGTATTTGTTTATTTTAAACATTGGTCTTTTCAGTTTTATTTTTTATTTTTTATTTGGTGGTATGTAAAACTTTAAAATGGAAGGGGTTGGGTTCGATTCCCTGGAGCGGATTTTAGCCCCATCACCGCCCTTCTATTTTGGCCTTACCCTTCTGATTTTTTTTCCGGGAAGCAGCTAGAAGACGGTCTTACCCTAGCGGATTGCAATATTCAGAAAGCCTTCATTTTCACTTCTTTGGTGATATAACCTATTTGCAACTATGCTTGCGGGCTGCGGCTTGACTCTTTATGAGGACATTCTTAGCTGCTGCCAAATGTGAGACTACTTGGGATGCTTGTACTTCAGCTAGAAGAGCAATTCAGAACCCTCTCGAGCAGTTCTTTGAAGCTCATAGAAGTGTGGAGGATGATAAACCTGTTGTGTATGGTCGGAGCTGGAAGGCATCTGAGCTTCGTCTCAAGTCCTGGGATGATCTTCACAAACTATGGTATGTACTTCTCAAGGCTCAACGTCAAATGCTTAATGCTCAAAACTTGAGATTTCCAAATCCAGAATGTATCTCCAAGGTAAGAAAGTCTATATGCCGAATCAAACACGTGCTCACAGAGAGGGCGATCGATGAGCCAGATCCTATGAGGTGTAGTGAGATGAAAAGAATGATAAATGCCGTATGAGAAGAATGATAGTTTGTGTTAAAAGGAATGAATGAGAGATGCTGTCATTTGATCCAGTGGCAGATGGACAGGTAGTTTACGGAGTCATATATTTTCTGTTTCAAGAATTTTGTGCTGCCCAGATGATTCGTTGGAGCAGTATGGGGGAGTCGAGGGGGGGAAGAAAAGGGGGGAAAGGGGAGAAGAATGGGGGAAGACGGGGAGAAGAGTCGAGAGGAAGAGAGAGGGAAAGTGAAAGAAAGAAATAGAAAATTAAGACAATTAAATAATATTAATTAATAATAATAATTAAGTTATTATTATTAATGCCAGCTGGTACCATGGGCCAACTTCAGCAATTCTAATTATTTTCACTTCATCTACTATTGAGTTTCTTGTGCAAACTCGTGTTTTTGTGTTGAGATGTATAATAATAGCCTCATAGGTATTACTCATGTTCGCTGTTTATCTACACATGTGACTTTTCATAGTCATCATGAAAACGAAAATGAGTCGAGATTTATCCTGCTAGCAATTTTCTCTCAACACCAGTGTCTTCTGTTAAATACAATTGAGCTTGACGATCAATCAGAGGCCACCTTAATTCCCATCCAATCTTAGCTTTGAGAAACTGCCTGGGAAGTTACAATTCCCATACAAAGTATCCATCTTAGATTTATCCACACTCATTTATGATCGTTCTCATAAATTTGAGACTGTTCAGGGTTTGTCAGTACGATAAAAGAATTGAGATCTCTGTTTTCCTTATCACAAACACATGGTATTCCAATATCTCCCAGAGATCTCGATTTGATGAGCCCAGATGACCCTTCACTTTAAATGATCGTTTCTTCAGATCTCCTTTCACCCTTTTCCTTTGCATCAGTTATCAATACAACCCTGTCTAAGGCTATAACACACCTTTCCTTGGAAATTCAGAGCAACATTTTCAATTGTCATTATTTTTTTTACTTGATGTGTCATATTTTTTGGTCCATCAGTAAGACTTATCTCTGCAAGTAACACAGGTTTTGAATTCGAGCTGGAATCTGAATCAACCCTTTTCGCCCCTTCTGGATTATCGGGTGGATATCCCGTGGATTGAATAATATCATCATTTTGAAGGTGATTATGTCGTCCTTATGCTGAAGTTCGCTGGTGAGTGGAAAACGATTGCCAGATTTGCGTTTTGACGTAGCTCAGCTGCTCAAACGTTGATAAATTTGAAAGTAGAATTTAGAATTGTGCCCTTCTTTCTATTACCTCAGGGATTACAAATGAGTGGGAATGGTGCACACAGACTGAAGTTCAAAGCTTCGCCACAGTTGAAGAAGATGTTTCCTTATTTGTATTAGGGGCTGTAGGGAAGGGGGGCGGGATGGAAGCAAGGAATGAGAAGAGGAAAGCTTCAGCTGCCTGTGTAGTAGTAAAACGGAGGTGGGTAACTACCTACTTGTTGTAATGCTGGAACTGCTAGTGTACTAGAAGAATCAGGGCACTACCTACTCGTTGGCAAATGTACTATAGTGTGATGTTATCTGCTTAATTATTGATGTAGTGATATTTTAGAATTAGAAATTACCAGATATGGAAGAAAAGAGAGAACGAAGGAGACAAAGAGATTGGGAGGAGAGATAGTCTGCAATTTTTGTCCCTTTCCCTATTTGCTCTAACCGTATTTGTAGGAATGGGGGTGGGGACCCCTACATAACAACCCACTTGCTAATACTAAAAAACTGAATTTATGTTTATTACATTATAGTTCTATTAATAATTTAGCTATCAGGAGTCTTTTAGAGGCCCAACTAAAAATAACAAGTAAATCACGACCATATATGACAATTCTCCCCTCTTGAGAAAATCCTTGTCCTCAAGGATTGGTAGGTGGTATGGAATTCCCGTAGTTGGCTGAAGTCGAGCAACTGGCAGTGGATTCTTCCTTTTTTTCATGTGACGGAAACAAAGCGGGCGACACACTGGCCCTTTCAGCATTCTTACTAGCTCTTGCTGGGGTTGGCAGAGGAGCAGAGTTATCATCTTGGTTAACCTCTGGGAGTTGTGATGCCACTACTGCGTGGGAACTGATGCAACGCTTCAGTAAGGAGACATGGTAAGCCACTTTCCCCACCCTTACCAAAACAGTGTACGGACCATAGTAGTGAGCTGATAGTTTCTGATTTCTGCGTTGAATTGAATTTTGTCGGTAAGGTTGTAACTTCAGATATACTTGATCCCCTATTGCAAATTCTCTGTCTACCCGTGTGTGTCTGCATAAAGTTTCATTCTTTCTTGTGCCAGCTTAAAATTTTCTTTGAGCTCCTGTCTTTTTTGCTGTCTTTGGGTAATTAGTTCCCAAATTTTAGTACTGGTTCCTGTAGAGGGAGTGGGTAGACAGAGAGTTGGGGTGTTGTGTCCATATGTTGAGACCATCCTGCAAACTCAGAGAAGAATTCTGCGATTTCGAAGAGACTTGCGCAAGGTGAGAAGCAGTTTGAGAAGGATTCTGCGAACAAGGATCTTCTGCTGGTGACGAAATCAGCGCATTCGAGGTCACCTGTGAACTAAGGAGGAGTTCTGTTAGGGATGAAGTTGAAGTGACTTGGGATGACATCTGATTTTCAGTTGGCCGACGGAGTCTAGGAGGGCTCCTCACTTGGCCTGTAGGTCTCCGGCGACGCGAAAGTTCGCGCATCTTTTTCAACCAGATTCGCATATCCTTCCCCCAATCACTTTTCCGCCAGCTTCTCCACTTTTCCGCGCTCAACCTTTTTCGCTAGCTTCCCCCTGTTCCGCGCGAAGCATCCTGATCAGATCTTCCATGTTCCCTGCGACACACGCTTCTCAGTGTTCGCGTGCAAACCAGGGGCAACTGACCTTCGACGTTCCCTACGCTGCTCCATTTTTTTTATCGTGTGACTTAGATCGAAGCTTCCCAGGGACAACGATTTTGATACCAATGTTAGGGACCTCAACAACGCAGCAGAGTTTTAGTATTATATTGATTAAAAAACTAAGAAGACAGTAGTGATTACAATGGTAGAAACGAGAGATCAACGTAAACTGAAAATTACAGGGTTGAGGCTCTTCAAGAGAGCCTCACTCTCCCAGCCTAATTCCAACTGAAATTCTGGCTACCTTCTTCCTCCTTCCCCCTTTTATATCATTTCTCTTCTTAAGGGCTGGCCACTGGTCCATATTTCTTGAATTACATGGCCCAAAACATTAACTTATACAATAACACTATTAATAATACTCTGTTATTCTTATTATTATTGGTTGTCTATGTCCCTATCAAATAATGATCAAACTCCACTGACTAATAAAAGCTTTGGAATGTTAATTATTACCATAGTCACTATAACTACTTAGTTATTCCTACTACGGCAGTCGGAGGACTCAGTGTTAGGGCACAGACACAAATCAAAGCTAAAACAGTAAACGAACACACAGATCTGATGAACAGAGATGGAAATAGATGTTTATTGATGAAATAGGTAATCCGTAGGCAGTACAGGGACTTCTTAGGCAACCGGGACTCTTAGGGGACAAGGCAACAGTTCTCAAAATAACAGTCTACCTATTAAGGCTATCCCAGCTTCTATTTATAGCCAAAAGTCCACGCAGGGACTAAATAGACAACTAAATAAGCTATAGACACTTAATAAGCTATTTAACTCCCCTAACCCCCTTATTTAAGACTACTGATTAGGCTGATGCCTAACATTACTCCCCCCTAAACAACCACCTTGTCCTCAAGGTGGGTGATAGGACACAACCTTGATTTTGAACTTCCTCTTCATCTTGGAACCTCTTCCTTCCCAGTACCTCCCGGATTTCCCACCCAAAAGAAGCTTGTTTATTGCTCCTTTTGCTGTTTCTATAAACCAGTCATCATTTGGTAAAGCACTTGGTACAATGCCCCTAACCGAATATGTCCTGGTCACCCGAGACATTATATCCGATGCTATTTGATGCACTATCCTGGAAGGGTATCCAGCAACCCGTGCTATCTCTAGGGTGTAGTGCATTTCCAGCATTATATGCTGCAATCCATGTTGTGTAAGAGGAGCAGAACTATCCTCTAGAACACCCCAAAATTCTTGCTCATCATGCCGCCACATGACCCCAATCTCAATCAGCCCGGCAAGCAAAACCTTCTGTATTTTCTCCCTCCCAATTAGTATGTCACCAGCCACAGTTGCTAACTGCTGCAGCTTACAGTTCTTCACTGTAAGGAGCAGAAACAATATCTTGGTGGAAAAATGCTCCCTGGTGCTGCAAAAGTTAGAATCTCTTGGCATCTGCATCTCCTGTTGTGTCCTTTGCTTGTTTTCCGACATCTCTTTAAGAGAACTGACCTCATCTTGTTCAAGACCATGAACCATTTCAAAAGCATCTGGAAAGGGTAAAAGAATCGGGTAAAAGGCTAAGATGACTAGGTTTAAGTATTTAATAAAAGAATCGGGTTTCATTGAATTTCATAATAACTTGTACAAGGGTTTTATCATTCTCCAAGTTCGTTTCCTGCTTTGAAGATAGTTCGTGCCTCCAGTTACATTGAATGACTTATGTTTCATCATCTGTCAGGCACCCTTTTTAAACTAGAAATTGCTCTGTCAAAGGAAATAAGAACACTGGCAGCTGAAGCTTTTCTTAATGCCAGCTGGTACCAAGGGCCAACTTCAGCAATTCTAAAGTATGTTATTTTCACTTCATCTACTATTGTGAAGATCCAGGCCTCAGTTACATTTGAAACTAGAAATTTAGTCTTCTGTAAACTCATGTTTTTGTGTTGAGATATATAATAATAATAGCCTCAGAGGAGAGTGGAATCGAGGGGAATCCGGGAAAGAGAAGAAGAAAGGGGAAACGGGAAAGGAAGGGAGAGAGTTCTTTTTTGCCTCAAGACTTCTACTTTTATGGCCATTTGCTTTGAAGATAAGGATTGGAAGGATATCCAAGTTCTTTTTTGATCAGGTTTGAATTAGATTATATCCAAGTTCTATCATCTGTCCGGCAGCCTTTTTAAATTACAAATTACTCTGTCAATCATTTAAATTACAAATTACAAATACCCTTTTTAAAGCTGGTTACTAGTACAATTCTGAAGTATGTTAATTTCTCTTTGGCTGTTTATTGGTCCATCAGTTTCACTTCCCTTTGCCTGTATGGTGTCTCATAGGTATTATTTTGAACTGGTGAGTGGAAAACGATTGCTAGGGTTTCATTTTGACGTAGCTCAGCTGCTCAAGCGTTGATAAATGTGGTTCTATGGGGGTATACTGTATATTACAAATGAGTGGGAATGGGGCACACAGACTGAAGTTCAAAGCTTCACCACAATTAAGGAAGCTGTTTCCTTATTTCTATTAGGAGCAGCGGAGGAGAAGAAAGGGGGAAAGGGAAACGGGTATGAGTGAAAGAGTAGAGAGAAGGAACAGGAAAGAAAGAGGAAGCAGAAAGGGAAAGTTATTGAATTCATAATATACAAGGGTTTTATTATTCTCCAAGTTCGTTTCTTGCTTTGAAGATAAGTCTTGCCTCCAGTCTCCCCGGTCCTTGATCAAACTATCCCCTACTGGTCCTGTTCACTTCTGTAATCTTTCTCGCTTCCGAGTAAATCAGAAGGCCGAAGTGTTTGGCCTTTGCTACTCCTTCTCCATGCCTGCTGATCTCTCCTGGATTGGCAAGCATCCGGCTGCCAGAGAGAAATAAAGTCGAAATTATAGATAAGCAGGTTGTGTAATTTTCAAGTAAAGAAGATAAAATTTTAACAAACACCAGCAGCCACTTAAAGCTATTGACAACTCAAAGAAGAGAAAGTTTTCAAAAATACTACGCCATAGTTCAGAGTCCAGATTTAGTAGGAATGAAGGAGAGGAAAAGAAAGGTGAAGAACTGAAGAAAATGTTAGAAACAATTGTAATGCACTGGAAAGAAGAAAACCCAACTGCGTTTGCGGAGATTACATAAATGTCCTTAAACATTAGCGGGGAAAAGACTTGGTTCACTTAATAATATATAGATGTAAGATATCCCACCCACTTTGTTTTTATTTCAAGGGATTTTTTCACATTCTTAAAATCGATATATTCATGACATTGCATAGGCATTTGGTTTGTACTACACTACTAATTTTCTTGATATATGAATACTTGAATTAATGCAAACATATCTCAAACGATTACCATACCATACCGTTTCAAATAGTAGCTTTTGATGGACTCCTGACCTAGAATGCTAACCATGAGAGCTTGAGCTAAAAGGGTGAAGTATTTTAGTCTTCTCCTACTATTTGACATTGCTGAAATTTTCTCTTCTTTGAGTTGTCTATAGCTTTAAGTGGCTGCTGGTGTTTGTTAAATTTTGCTTCATTGAGGAGCTTCTTTTCGTGTTTCACTACTATCAACTTTCTGATTGTTTTAAACTGGATTTTATAAAGGGAAAAAACTTTACTTTATAATAAACATATATGTAAACTAAACTAAACTGTATAACCATGTATTTTCACCCCTCAAATTAAACTATTAGTTCTCATTACTTATCATAATTAAAGGAATAACTAAAAAAGAAGATTCTTTTCAGTTTTTTCCATTTCGATAATCAAGTAATGTATAGAAAAGAAAAAAATGACAGTTTATCGGTAGGATTAAAAGGCAAACAAACCCTCCATATGACCAGTTTCTTTGATTGACACATTTACTTTACACCATAAATATAGGAATTGACACATATACTTTACACCATAAATATAAGAATATGAGGTATAGTTAAAGCTATGCTTACTGGTTAGGAATAAGACTTTCACTTTCAAAAAAAGACTTAGAATGATGGTTTTGAATGTGTTAGCAATGTATTCTGAAGCAAAGAATTCTCTCCTTAGAACAGAAAAATAAGAAAATAATAAGAGTTGTTAGTAGAATGTCATAGTTATGACATTCTTATTTTAGAATATCAGTCAGCTTAGAGGACTGCCTAATCTTCATTGTTGGGATTCTATTAGATCTCATGTAGTTTATATTAAAAGCATCTAAAACTGGGAGTGCGTTACAGCTTTAGGAAGGCTGTCCCAGAGTAGGTATTTTGGTCCTTAAAAAATCCACCAGATACTTGCAACTTTTGGTGGGATCCAATATAAAAAGTGCATGTTCAAAGAACACAAAACCTGATAAAATTGTATCAACAAAGGAGACTAAAACTCCAGAAAACATACATGGAGATAATTACATTTTATAAACCAATTATAATAAATCACAGATATAATAAATCAATTATATTGATGAAAGAAAGTGACAGAACTAATGTGGAAGTAATGAAATAAGGTGGATTTGATCAGACAAAACCATGTATTAATTAGATTCCCACAAATTATTGAATACCTCAGTGGGTAAACAATCAACATGACAACTCTTTTATAAAATCTAAGGGGTTCAACTATAGCTGCAGGGTATACTGTGTGGAAATATTTTTCACATAGTATAAGAAAAACACATAACAATACTAATACGGAGTACTATTTAGAGTCCTCGTAGCTGCAAGCCTGCAACTACAATTTTCACAAAATAACTCCATTAAAACAACATCATCTTTGCTAAGATATCTTTAATCAGATAGTACGGAGTGTGAAAGTAATTTAATTAAGAAAGGGCATGAAGACCGTTCATTGAACTTTTAAAATGAAAAGCATGAAATCACTCATTTTCATTTACCCCAGTGCCGCAAAGGCTCCCACCCACGGTGGGGTAAGGGGGGTTGGATGTACGCAGTCTTACCTCTGTACTGAAGCACAGAGAGACTGCTTCCGGATGACCAATATTTTGTCTACGAATACTCACCAATATCGAGAAATTTGGAGTTGATGGACTCTTTGGAGTTGGATCAAGTCGAATATATCTGAATTCGTTTGATGATAACAGAGCTCCAATTGAGAGTCCAGTTCAGCAAGAAGTCTAGCGCAAGGTTTGTGCTAGAGCCCTAAAATCTGAATTCGTTTGATGATAACAGAGCTCCAATTGAGAGGCCAACTTCAGCGAGAAGTGTAGCGGAAGGTCTGTTCTAGAGCCCTAATTTCCCCGAACTTGAAAGAATACGCTAGGGTAAATCGGAAGAATAGAAAGTTTAGCTGTAATTACGTAAATATCCCTAGTCAGTAGGCGGGAACGTGACTTAAGCGTTTTAATATATATAGATTCCTTCTGCCTTCAATTATCTGCTCTTGCTTCTGCTTATTACTTTGTCCCTCCTTGTGCCACAAATATCCATCTCCTTGAATAATATGATTCAACCCTTGTTTCTTCCATTTTATGATCTGGTTTTGGAAATTAACTTCCATATCACCTAGATCAATCAACCATTCCATTCCCAACACCATGTCAGTCCCACCTAGCTCCAACATATAAAATTTCTGTTGAATTTCATTGCCCTGCACGCATTGTATCAAATTGCGCAATGCAATAGCGCAATGAGGCGCGCCTCAGGTAATTTCTATAGCAAGGCGCAGAATTGCATGGCGAAAGGCGGAAGTGTAGAAACGTGCGCTATATGGCGCAGTGGCGTACGCTTTCTGCGATGCGCAATAAGGCGCCTTGAGGCGACCGCCTTAAGAGTTTAGTTAGATAATTAATTAATAATATATGTTGACCGATAGGACCCACTTTTATTCTTTAGTAGGCCATACCGAGGGTGTACGCTATTCCCAACCTGCGTTTCTACTTCACCCTTCGTCAATCCTCATACAGAAGATGGGAGAAGATCGGTTGCTGCTTCATCATCTGCGCATCACAGGTTTGCAGAAGACCTGCGCGGCTGCCCATCAAGTTTCATCTGCTTCTCCTCTTATGTTTTTTCTTCGATAACAAAACACTTCGTATTACAAAACTGTAGTTTATTGAGTAGAACGAGGTTGCAGGATCGGTGGTGGCATGGATAAGTGGATTTGAGATTGAAAACTTTGCATAGCCCATACTGGGATAGTGGGATTGTCAGATAGTGGGTGTGAGATAAAAAAAACAAATTGAGTTTAGATGATGATATGGTGTCCATTTAAAAAAAGTAATTGTGTTGGCAGCTGGCAGTTTATACATACTTCATTATTTTGGTGCATTGTTTACTTTTTGATTAATATATATGTATAATTATAATTTATCTTTATATGTGTATATATATATATATATATATATATATATATATATATATATATATATATTACGCCTCAGGTCTACGCCTCATTGCGCAATGAGGCTTACGCAATATGCAATAATAAAAAAACGCCACGATTACGCAATACGCAATTTCGAACCTTGCCTGCACATTCAGTTTCATCCCTTCACATCTACCATAGTTAGAGATCAAGTCTCCATTCCCTATTTGTACCTTATATCCCTTGATACTTTGGAAAGGTATCTTCCATCTTTCTACAAATTGTTGGGATATAAAGTTGTGGGTAGCACCACTATCAATCAAGATATTCATCTTTGCTCATTTTCTGACCATTTCAATTCCCCTTTTACCTTGAAAGTATTCGTAGAGGAGCTTCCTTCTTTACTTAAGACTGACAACTACGTAGTCTTGGATCCCATATGAACCCCTTCTCCTACTTCTGAGTCACTAGTTGCAGTTTCAGATCCTTCCTCTCCTTCAGATAGTTCCATCATCACCATTTTGAAGTTCTTCATCCTGCAATTGTGACCCCGGTTCCAGTTTTCACCACATTTAAAACATAATCCTCTTCTACTTCTTTCTTGCAGCGCATTCTGTGATAATCTGGGGCTTGTTTTCTTCTGAACCGAATTTGAAGATTCCTCCTTATCATCAACTGAATAGTCGCCAAATGGGTTCTTGGTTGTACTAGAACTCCCTCTATAGCCATTTCCCCATTTATGGTAACTTTGTCCTGTTCGATTTGTCTTCCATACCTTCTTCCCTTCCTCCTTGTTTCTTCTAGACAATACTTCATGATTCTTATGCTCAGTCAATAGTGCTGTGTCCATAATCTCAGCCAGATTCCTCGCACAATAAAGCTTCAACTCAGCTCTAATGTCCTTCTTCAATCCATTCAAGAAAATTCCCTTAGTTACCTTCCTGCTTAAGACCTAATAAAGGTCCCAGAGGGTTCTGAACCAATTCTGGTTGAAATCGCCTAGTTAAAGCTGCCTTCAAAGTTCCCCAATTCCTCTCACGCGTTTGGTTCTCCCATCCTTGGAACCAGCTAAGGGCTTTGTCCTCCATAGCTACCACCGCTACGTTTACCTTATCATCCTCTTCGATATGATTAAGACGAAAATAACGATCAATTCTGATTAACCACCCATAAGCATCTTCACCGTTGAATAACGGTAAATCAATTTTCCTCCCTGTTCGATGGTGGTGGTGGTGACTATATTCTCTGTGTCGGTGATGATGGTGATGTGGTGGTGAGTAGTGGTTGTTCCCTTCCGAGTCATTTGAACTCACTGATTTTAGTTCATGTTGTGACTGACGCTCCTGATGGTGGTGCTGATGGTGATGCGTAGGTTCATAGTCTGAGTTTTCTCCCGAATCTCCAGAGTGAGTTGATTTTCGTGAATGGCGTGATTGATGGTTGTGCAAAGTGCGATGCGAAGCGGTTGAAGCTTTCGATCTACTTCGCGATCGATCTTGCGCTCGAGCGTCCAATCTGGCGAGAAGAGTCGCCTGCATCTCTGCTAACATCTCCGTGGTCTGTTGTTGATTTCTGTCTACTTTCTCTTCCAGTTCGTTCATTCGTATATCCATCTTCGTTCTTGTCCAGACCATCCACAAAGATCGACGATGCTCTGATACCACTGATAGAACTGTCTAGGTATTGAGAAAATTTACAAAATATTATCAAAGAAAATTTCAAGAACAAGAACTGTAAACTTTATTGATGAAGAAGCTCAGTAACAATGGCCGAAGCCCCAAGAGAGAGATAATTCTCAATCTTCCCAGAAAATACTAAACAGTCAAAATAGCCTCCCTCTATTCTGACTTTACATCTATTTATAGTATCCCACCAACAGAATGTAGTTATTATCTGTTAGAGACCTATAGAGAATATAAAAAAATAGAATAAGTGTAATAAGTGTTTGGGGGGATTATTAGATAAGGACTATGGCCGGGTGGCTGAGGTCTATAAATAGAAGTTAGAAAGATGTAATAAGGATGCTGAATTTGATTTGTAAACTGTACGCAGTCTGTTGCCTTAGGCCTTCGGCCATTGTTGCCTTTGAGAATAAAAGTTGCCTTTGAGATATTTCTTAAACCAATTCTGTGATCTGTAAGACTAGAGTTGGAGTTTTCTAACATTGGTATCAGAGACTTCGTTCACTGTGGATGGTAGTGACGCGCGCGAAGATGGAAGCCAGAATAGAGGAATTGGAAAAATCGCAACAAGAGACTAGGGATATGTTCGCGGCTCTTCAGGCATCGATCGCCAGATTGGAAACGCGAGGAGAGAGTCGATCGCGTAGCAGGTCACACGCTTCGCATCGATCCTCGCACCGTTCATCGCCTCGTTCGACGCATCGTTCATCGCAGCATCACTCCTTGCGATCGTCTGACAGTTCCGAAGGATCGGAAGGTCATTTGGAGTTCGCTCAACCACATCGACGTCACCATCACCAGCCGATGCACAGGAAAGTTGACCTACCTTTGTTCAACGGTGAAGACGCTTTTGGTTGGCTTGTCAGAATCGATAGGTATTTCCGACTCAACAATACACAAGAGGAGGAGAAGATAGAAGTGGCAGTAGTAGCTATGGAAGGCAAAGCTCTAGGATGGATTCAATGGTGGGAGAAACAAGCAAGAGTAAGGACTTGGGAGCAGTTGAAGAAGGCACTGCTTCGTCGTTTTCAGCCAGAGTTAATTCAGAATCCATTGGGTCCTCTACTGAAGTTGAAACACAAGAACTCTGTACAAGAGTACCGAGTACAGTTTGAAACAGCTATATCTTGTCAAGAAGGACTGGATGGGAAGGTAATGAGGGCTATTTTCTTAAATGGATTAAAGAAAGATATCAGGGCTGAACTTAAGCTGTATAAAACCAAAGATCTTGGCAAAATTATGGATATTGCACAGCTGATTGAAGACAAGAATGAAGAAATCCTGTTAAGAAGGAATAAAGAAGAAGGAAAAAGACCATGGAAGAACACTGCACCTAAAGGAAACAGTTATCAGAAATGGGAAGAAGGGATGAGAAGTAGCAGTCATCCAATGTTTACACATTCTGATGGGAAGGATAGTAATGACAATAAGAATGTGAAGACTGGTGGAGGTTCAAGTTCAGGAAAAATAGGCCCCAGATTATCCCAACAAGAATTGATTGAAAGGAGTAAGAAAGGATTATGTTTCAAATGTGGGGAGAACTGGAATAGGGGGCATGAATGCAAGATGAGGAATTTCAAAATGGTTCTGGTTGAACACTCTGAAGAAGAGGCCGACACTGAAGTGGATGGCAGCAGTTCTGAAGAAGAAGAGGGACCTCATCCTGAACTAAAATCAATGCAATTGTCTGGAATTAGCAAGGAAGGTATAGATTCTGGAAGAACTTTTAAGATGGTGGGGAATTTGAAGTGGGCTGCAGAAGATAAGAGGGTCAATATTCTCATTGACAGTGGGGCTACCCACAATTTTATATCTCAGAGATTAGTGGACAAGTGGGGTATTCCTTTCAATCCAATCAAAGGATATAGGGTACAAATAGGTAATGGTGAATTCATATACAGCCAAGGCAGATGCATGGGATTAAAGCTGATGGTGCAGGGTAATGAGATCAATCAAACTTTCTACACCTTAGAGCTGGGAGAGAATGATGTGATTTTGGGATTGGAGTGGTTAATGCCATTGGGAGACATGGCAATCAATTTCCAAAAACAGATCCTCATATGGAAGCAGGAGAGTCAGAATTGTTCAATTAGAGGGGCTAAAACTCTAAATGAAAAAGAGACTTCTAGAACAATCAATGCACAGATTCTGCACCCAACTGTGGAGGGGCATCTACTGTATTGTAAAGAGGATGAGCAGGGGCAGAACATGGAACAGAAGATTAGTGATCATGTTATCCAGACCAAGGAAGGTGCTGACTTTGTATCTTCAGGCACGAAAGGTGGTTCAGTTCATGTGTTGCATCACAATAGCAAAGAGGCTCTGGAAAAATCTGTGAGCTGGAAAGATCTATTAATGAAGCTTTTATATCAGAAATTTGTGGAATATTGGAAAGGCAGGAGTACCAGAATGAAGAAGAAGCCGGAAGTCTTGGCTGTTACCTTTCACCCACCTTGAGGGCAAGGTGGATGTTTAGGGGGGGAGATATGTTAGAGACCTATAGAGAATATAAAAAAATAGAATAAGTGTAATAAGTGTTTGGGGGGATTATTAGATAAGGACTATGGCCGGGTGGCTGAGGTCTATAAATAGAAGTTAGAAAGATGTAATAAGGATGCTGAATTTGATTTGTAAACTGTACGCAGTCTGTTGCCTTAGGCCTTCGGCCATTGTTGCCTTTGAGAATAAAAGTTGCCTTTGAGATATTTCTTAAACCAATTCTGTGATCTGTAAGACTAGAGTTGGAGTTTTCTAACATTATCTCAAACAGAAATATAACTAATTAACTACACCAACTCTTTTATTTAATACCCTAATAGGTCTGTCCCTAACATGGAGTCATCAGAATTTGGAAGTAGCCAAAACGTAAATCAATCTTTGAGAAGAATTGTGCCCCCCTGAGTTCATCCTAAAAGGTGAGTGATCACTAATTACAACTGAAATTCTGCCTACCTTCTTCCTCCCTCCTTCCCCCTTTTATATCATTTCTCTTCTTAAGGGCTGGCCCATATTTCATGAATTACATGGCCCAAAACATTAATTTATACAATAACACTCTATTAATAATACTCTGTTATTCTTATTATTATTGGTTGTCTATGTCCCTATCAACTAATGATCAAACTCCACTTACTAATAAAAGCTTTGGAATATTAATTACTACCATAGTCACTATAACTACTTAGTTATTCCTACTACTGCAGTCGGAGGACTCAGTACTATCCAGAGTTGTTGATGTTAATGAGTGTTATTACTCTTGACGATGTATACTTGTACTTCGTCAAGTGGTGATCTTGTAAATAAAAATGACATAAAGAATATAAAACCAACATGATACCCTATGTTTACTTGATTTGGGAACATTTACTATTATCATGAAATTCATACTTAACTCCGTGGTCATCCACATATCTCACAATAATTGTTATCTGCTCTTTGACCGAATTACTACTTTATCTAATGGTCTCCACTTATCTTTTTGCCAGATAAGTACTAATACTAAATTTGGGATTGGAAGCAGGGGCATTTCCCCCAGCCCCCAGGTCCTCTATGCCCTAGCGGGAGTTGTGAGCCGACGAGGAAGATGGGAGAAAGACACTCTCTAAAAGCCCCTACTGGCTTCAAAGAACAAGATACTATCTGGCTTTAAGAAGTAATTCAATATCCCAATTTTGTAATTCAATATCCCAATTTTGAAATAACTTTCGGTCCCATATATGAGTCTTCTCGTCGTTGTTAAAAGCATATAAAGGGGTTCTAAATTTTGAAGCCATGTGAAAAATCAATGCGTTTTTATACATTTTTTAATAAAATAACTTTAGGTCCCGTATATTTACTTTTCATTTTATGTGGCTCAATATTAATTCTTATCAATGAGAGTATATATGCTTGATAAGGTCTGCTTCTTTAAGTATTAGTTCTCAAGTATTAATGAATTTTTTGCTTACAACATATGTACTTGATTGCAGTAAAAGTTTAACTAATTATGCTTCATATAATCAACCTAGATAGTTTGAACTTAATATTAATTAGAACTGGGGCGCAGTAAATTACTGCTCAATTGCAGTACAACATTTCTCTTCCGAAGTGATGTTGAAGTCACTTAATATAACATCTCTTGTTCTGGTTTTGATTTTAGTTTTAAGTTTCGTCAAAAAGAAGTCCTTGATTTATAAGTTTCCCAATTCACTGTTACCTTAGGGATAAATTAGAATTTATAATTTAGAATTTGAAGGTAGAATTTAGAATTTTGCCCTTCTGTCTATTACCTTAGGGATATCTATAGAAAGATGCAAAATGTGGGTATGACTAGGTGGTTCTATGGGGGTATACTATATATTACAAATGAGTGGGAATGGTGCACACCTTGGTTTAAAAAAGCGCGCCTGAGGCGCAAAAATGCGCTAGGCTCTCTAAGGCGAGCACTTTATCGCATCTTACACCCCCAGGCGGCATAGGTTCCAAGAGGCGCACATTATACGGCGCTTTTTGACGCCTTTTGCACATCTGAGAGGCGTGCGCTTCTCACGCCTTAGGGATGTGTCTTTTGGCGATTCAGTCTTTATAGTCTTCTCCCTTCTTCCTGCGTTTGTTTTGCTTCTGAGTTCCGACATCTGCGGTAGCTGTTTCTTGCTCGCGTAGCAGGGCTCGCAAGTCCTGTTTTCCGCTGCTGTCTTGTGTCGCAGGACTTGCAGAGTAGTCGCAGGTAAGTATTTACTTCTCTTCTAATGCGTGTGATAGTTTATTGATTGAAGTACTCCTTATGTATTATTTATACTCGTATTTTATTACCTTGAAATTGCAGAGTTACTACCTCTGTGGGTCTGTTCTAGATCAAGCTGAGTAGGGTACCTAAATGTTGTTTTTGTTTAACAAATACATACGTAGTACTCCCTCTGTCCCATTTTACCAGTCCTACTTTCCTTTTTGGGCTGTCCCAAAATAAGTGTCTCCTTTCCTTTTTTGGAAAGAAATATATGGTTCACACCATTTCACTTTATTATACTCAAGCGTCAACCACAACTTTTACTTTTTCAACCACATCATTAATAACCGTGACAAATCAAACTAAGACACATAAAATGGGACGGAGGTAGTAGTATATAAGACAGTTTTTTTTTTCATATAACAGTTTATTAATTATGTTTTGAAGTTTTAAGATCGAGTTTTGTGACATGACTTTTGGGAATGATGCCATTTAATTTTTTATTTCATGCAACTGTCTTAATAAATATTTGGTTTCTCTTATGATGTTTATTCAGAGTGTTAAATAGTTTGAAGTATTTTTTGTGATGCTATCACTTTTTGAGATGAGTGCTTTATGTAGAAGACTAGATCCGTGAGGCGCACGCCTCATTGCCTTGCGCCTCGCGCCTTGGGTAAATCTTGAAAACGCCTCATGCCGCCTCGCGCCTTTTAAAACTAAGGTGCACACGGACTGAAGTTCAAAGCTTCGCCACAGTTAAAGAAGATGTTTCCTTATTTGTATTAGGGGCTGTAGGGAAGGGGGTGGGAAGAAAGCAAGGAATGAGAAGAGGAAAGCTTCAGCTGCCTGTGTACTAGTAAAAGGGAAGTAGGTAACTACCTACTTGTTGTGATTCTGGAAGTGCTAGTGTACTAGAAGAATCAGGGCACTACCCACTCGTTGGCAAATGTACTATAGCTATTGTAGTTGGTTCTCCCCTTGAATGTTTTTTTATTGAAACTTTTATTCTTTATTGTGGCTTAGAGCCGTTTGCTTCTTTCACTGCTGTTTCAGATCTGCTAATATATGTCGTTGTTGCAAATCCTATTCATTCTTTACCTCAACCTTTTTTCTTTGTTTCAAAACATATAATATTTCGTATACACCTTTTACTTGCAGGAAAAACGCCAGTGTGGAGATGTTGGATTGCCCCAGCCCCATAGGAGTACGCTTTGCTTAGTACTATAATTAGTTTTGACTTTTTCAATTTCCTTAGTTGTAAGGGCATATCTTTGTTTAATGCCCTTTTAGAATAGTACTCCGTATTTGTTTATTTTAAACATTGGTCTTTTCAGTTTTTTTTATTTTTTATTTGGTGGTATGTAAAACTTTAAAATGGAAGGGGTTGGGTTCGATTCCCTGGAGCGGATTTTGGCCCCATCACCGCCCTTCTATTTTGGCCTTACCCTTCTGATTTTTTTTTTCCGGGAAGCAGCTAGAAGACGGTCTTACCCTAGCAGATTGCAATATTCAGAAAGCCTTCATTTTCACTTCTTTGGTGATATAACCTATTTGCAACTATGCTTGCGGGCTGCGGCTTGACTCTTTATGAGGACATTCTTAGCTGCTGCCAAATGCGAGACTACTTGGGATGCTGGTACTTCAGCTAGAAGAGCAATTCATAACCCTCTCGAGCAGTTCTTTGAAGCTCACAGAAGTGTGGAGGATGATAAACCTGTTGTGTATGGTCGGAGCTGGAAGGCATCTGAGCTTCGTCTCAAGTCCTGGGATGATCTTCACAAACTATGGTATGTACTTCTCAAGGCTCAACGTCAAATGCTTAATGCTCAAAACTTGAGATTTCCAAATCCAGAAAGTATCTCCAAGGTAAGAAAGTCTATATGCCGAATCAAACACGTGCCCACAGAGAGGGCGATCGATGAGCCAGATCCTATGAGGTGTAGTGAGATGAAAAGAATGATAAATGCCGTATGAGAAGAATGATAGTTGTGTTAAAAGGAATGAATGAGAGATGCTGTCATTTGATCCAGTGGCAGATGGACAGGTAGTTTACGGAGTCATATATTTTCTGTTTCAAGAATTTTGTGCTGCCCAGATGATTTGTTGGAGCTGTGGACGTGCTCTTTTAAACACATTCTTTGCTAGCTCGTGTATCTGAAAATGGATGATATGTTTGAATCATGGAAGTTTTTTTTTTATTTGCCTGATGTCATCCATCTCCTTGGGTGGGTAGAACAAAAGAGGCAAACAATTTTTAGACAAAAAAATGGAAGCGGTTGGGAGTTGGGGGGATGATAAATAAAGCAAAACTTTATATGAGTATGAGTTACTTAAGTTCAGTTCAAATCGGTTGAAATTGTTATTAATTTTTTTTAAATATGTCAATATTTATTATTTTTTATTATATTTAGTTTTGTACTAATGGTCTAACATATTTTGATGTGATATCTAGCCTTATTTAGATGGTTTGTATTAAATTAGTTGATTTGTAAATCTCACATAATCCTCTTGTAATCACTCTCAAACGGCCGAAATGAAACGAGATAGTTTCAAATCAAAATTATTGATGTATATGGACTATGGAGTATAAATTGGGTAATTTACACAAAAAGATCTTTGATTTAAACTTACATATATCTGTTAATCTATGACTTGATGTTTCGATTTTTGCTCTTTTACGGTCAATTACACTGCTCGTACATAACAGTTTGAGTATGATCTATGTGCTTTTCTTGGTCAAATAGATATATCATACTCAAAATTCAAAACAAATTATGTGATATGTGATTAAGATTTATTAGTTAAATCTAAAGCAATGGAAACGAAAAAGGCTTGACTTTGTTTAAATTTTGTGTTTATCAAATTATAGTGTTTATGATAGGGAGGCATTTGAAAATCCAAATAGTGCATGTGGAATTCAGCTTCCGAAGCTCAATTGGAGCTACTCCAATGGTAAAAGTTATGTATAAACTGATCTCAACTAGAATAAATTTTTTTTGTCTCAACTAGGGGTGGACTCGGGCCGGGCCAACCGGCCCGGAACCGGACCGGCCCGCTACTGTGCGGGCCCGGACCGGCCCGGTCAACCGGTTGGTCAACCGGTTCGGGCCACCCGGCCCGGAGGGATACCGGTTCGGGCTCGGGCCCTGATTTTGGCGAACCGGCCCGGCCGGTTCGGGCCCGGTCCGGGCCGGATTTTAAATTTTTTTTTTTTTTTTTTGAAATTTTTTTAAATTTTGGGTTGGATTAGGTATTTTGGGCCATTTGAGGTGGTTTGGGGTAGTTTGGGGTTGAGGGGGAGGGGTAGGGGGTTAAAAATGAGAACAAAAAAAAAAAAAAAATTAAGTTGGGCGGTTCGGCCCGGCCCGGCCCGGCCCGGTTTGGCCCGGAACCGGAACCGGAACCGCCCCCCGGCGGTTCGGGCCCGGGCCCTATATTTTTGGCCCGAGGCCCGGCCGGGCCCAGGCCCGAACCGGGCCCGAACCGGCCCGAGTCCACCCCTAGTCTCAACTGAGACTATATTAAAATGAGGTAACTAATGTACAAAATAGTTAGTTTTATTCTTAATATGCATTTCCTTAAGTGAACGAGGTAATGCATCCCATTTCCTTTTGCAATTGTATTAAACTGATTTATCAATACTAAACTAATCCTGAAGAAGAAAAAGAAAAACTCTACCCAAATTAATGTTCTGTGATAAGGATTTCTGATAAGACTGCTCCTAAAAACTTACAAGTGTATTTTACTCTAATCATGTTCCTAAACTGATACTAAACGTCGCTCCCATCCCTTGTATGTTCGAATTAACTCATGTACTTTGCTTATTTACCATTTGGCACATATAGTTGGAGTTAGGGGAGAGCAAACCCGACCCTACCCGATTGACCTGATTGGATATATCCGATTTTATTTTTTGGGTCGGATAACCCGACCCGAATGACCTTAACCCGATCCGATTTTTGCAACTCGAGCGTTAAGCGGGTAGTGGGTAGGGTTACCAATTATGTTACCCGACCCGCCCGAAAACCTGAACTAGGGTAGTATATATACTACTTTGAATTATTACGCATGTTCAAATATCTCAATTATTGTATGCCAATTACCATATTATGCATATCAAATATTCCAATTAACGTATTTGTAAAACTATAACTTTGAATGTTGTATTGTTATGATTTTGAATGATATTTTGACCAGTTATCATTTTATTTATCACAATATCAAAAATGCCAATCACCGTATATTATTATTTTACATGTTCTAATATGTCGATTACCGTATTTATACAACTATTACTTTGAATGTTATACTAGTATAACTTTGAATGATATTTTTACCAATTACCATTTTATTTATCACAATTTCAACAATAATAAATTAAAATCCGAATGGACCCGAAAACCGAACCAACCCGACCGAAACCCGAACTTCTTCAACCCGAAAAACCCGATAAATTTTTTGATCGGGTAGGGTTTTAAATTATCAATCCGATACCCAAACAGGTTTACGATTTTTGAACCTGACCCGCCCGAACCCGATCCCTGCTCTGCCCTAGTACTTGGAGTCTGTTGTAAATTTGTTTAACAAATGTGGCTGTTGTGAAGCATTATATATATATATATATATATATATATATATATATATATATATATATATATATATATATATATATATATATATATATATATATATATAGTTTGGTTCGAATAAGAACACCATCTAATGAGATAAATAAGAAACAATCTTGACCATTAGATCAACTCATTTTCTCAGATTCTCACGTGTGTGTGCGCAGGCCAAGATGGTCTTTTCAATTTTTCTTCCCTTTTGTACGTAGCTTCCTTTCCTTGTACATATCTTTCCATTATTTTTTTTCAATTTAATAAACCTTTAATTCCTTTCCTTTTCAGTTACGAGTGACATTTCATCTACGTGAAATCAGTTCATGTACGAGGGACTCGACTTTCTGACTACCTCTTCTTCCCCAAGAACTCTGAAGCTCCATTAATGGATAAAGGGTCTGTTTTTTACTCTTCTTTCGTTTGTTCTACTATTTTTTTGGTTTCATTTGTTGTTTTGTTTTCATGAAAATTCAGGACATACTTTATGTCCTCTTCGTTTTTGTTATTGTTTATGATTTAATGGGTCTGTATAATTGCAAAGATTTAATGGCTGATGTGTTCGTTTTTTCTGTTTCTATGGGACGAGTGTAGGTAAAATTCTGGTATTTTTATTCCTGAGAACTTAGTCCAGCAATTCTGTGGTTCTGATACACAATCCTGCCATGGATATCAATTAGCATCAATCCTTTGTTCTTTGTTTTCTATTCATTTCGTCTACAAACTTTATGTCATCTTCGTTTTTTTATTGTTTGTGATTTAATGGGTCTATATAATTCTAAGAACTTAATGGCTGATGTGTTTGTTTCTTCTATTACTATGGTTGAGTGTATGCAAAATTCTGGTAATTTTATCACTGAGAACTTAGTTAAGAAATTGCGCTGGTGCACTCCAATTTGGATGATGATGATGCATACTAATGGTGTACCTAATGCAATTGTAGTTTACTATTAGTAAATTTCATATTGATTTTGTTTAGTGCACCCCATTGGTATTACTATACTCACAAATGTGGTATGTAATGCACTTTTACTTCGATACGTCTGTAAATGTATGTAAACATCTGATAATTTTTTAACAATTGTCTAGGTGCACTCCAATTTGCGATAAGGATGATTTAGGTAATCGGTTCACTTATGACAACGAATCATCTGAAATTAAAGGAGGTGAATATGATGCAGAACCTTCGAGTGAAGATTTACATACAAATTGTGTATGACTCAGAAAAGTTCTGTATGACTCAGAGAAGTTGATTGCACTCACTTGTTGACGACGATGTCCATAAATTGTTTAGATAATACACTTCTAGTGGTATATTATATTTGGTTGTGTGCAAATACGATTAACCCTTTTTATGTTTCACTCGGATTTAGATGACATCGATTCTCTTATGTAGAATTTGTGGTGATACTTTAAATGTCATATTTATCATGAATGAATTGAATTTTTACTAAAATGTTCATTAATACTCTTTTAAATGTGCACTATTAAGTATTTGAATGTGCACTGCTACTATATTGCATTCTACTTGTGCATGACAGTGTCCTGAAATTGTTTACATAATGCACTTTCAGTGACAAATTATGTTTGGATGTATGTATATCACATGATTAACCCTTTTGCATATTTCAATTAAATTCAGATGATGACATTGTTATTCTTATTTGAAATGTGTATGTCAGTAATGTATGTATCCTCATTGCTGTTTTTCTTATGTGGGATTTGTAATGATCCTTCAATTTTCATTTATATCATGAACGAATTGTATTTTTATTAAAATGTTCACTAGTACTCATATAGTCATATGATAGTGCAATATTGTGTATCAAAATGTGCATGGTTACTATATTGTACTATACTTGAAAGGATGTATCACATGATCGAGTTTAATTTCACTACTTTTAAATATGTTCATTACCAATTATACATATGGACTTGTTCAGGGTACCTAGAATTATGTATTAATCACATTACACCTTGAAAGGATGTCTTATATATAAGTTTCACTTTTTGTACCTTTTTAGATGTGCATTACCGGTTGTGCGTCTACTTTAATGCATTATCTAAACATATTTTTCAAGGTTCAAAAAAACATGTTGTGCTCTTTGAAATATAACATATTGCACTACGTACTCTATTCCAATGCACTACATATTGTAAGCACCTTCGAGGGGGCAAAAGTGCACTATACATAATGTCATCCCTTTTGAAAAAGACATGCATTTGATGCAACCATATAATATTAAAACATTCAAAGTAACACAGGAACATTTCCATAAGAGGATTTTCCATGAAACGATTTCATAAAAAAAAAATACATTCATTAATCTAATTCAGGCAGACGTAACAATACAATCAGTAGAGAAATCAGTAATTAAAATGCTATACTCTAATATTACTTCCACTCATTCACAACTCTCATAAC